GCCCTGGTCATTCATTGACTGTGAGACCTGGGTTAGCCTGTGCCTATGTCAGGGCTTCTGAGTAGATGTCTTGGGCTTCTGAGTAGATGTCTTAGGAGGTCACTGCGGAGAGAACTGAAACAAGAGATAGGAGGAGTCAGGGCAAGGCCCAGTGCCTTGCTGGGGAAGCAGCTCTGCCCTCAACCTGCTCTGCTGACCATACGTGACACTTTGCCACCATCAGCAGGGCCCACCTCTCCCAGGCCCCGCCCCTGAGGGGCAGAGAAGCATGGATCAGGGCAGCAGTCAGATGACCACAGAACAAGGAACCTTGGACCTGGAAGCGCACAGGCATCTTTCCCTATGTGGAATCAGAGGCACAGCTAGAGTCTACCAATGGTGGGGGGTGGGGCCAGAGGTCCCCTAGGGTGTTTGGTTGGTAGGGAGCCCATCATCTTCATCATCACCATCATCTTCATCATCACCAACATCGCTGACATCCAGTGAGCCATTACAATGTGCTGGGTACAAGTCTAAACTCTTTCTTACACATGTTAATTCATTTGCACAGCCACTTGATGAAGATTATTATTATCCATATATTGTGGCTGAGGAATTCACGGGCCAGCGGGGGTTGGAAATTTGCTGAAGGACACACAGCTGGTGAGTAGCCCAGCTGGGATTTGAACCCTGGCAGTCTGGCTCTCGCGTCTGCTCAGAACCCCTCAGTACCATCCAAGATTTTAACCACTTTCTCCATAACCCCATGGTCTTGCTCTGACTCTCTTCCCTCAAACATCTTTTCACCAGATCAGCACTTTAGCTTAAAAATTGAAAAGCTGTTGCTTTTGGAGCAAATGCTTAGGGTGCAATGCACTGCCCCATCTCCCAACCCCCTCCAGCTCCCCAACCAGGCCACTCCTGTCTCCCCCGCCTCCAGTCACATCTAAACCCTCACACTGAATGCCACCTCCTCCATGAAGACCTCCCACTTATTCCCCTCCTAGAAATTCATCCCTTCTTTTTTACTTTGCCTAGACTAATGGGTTTCCTCACTCTTATCCAGGGCTTCCATAATCTGCTTTTATGGCACTGAGATGAGTCCCCAGGCACTTCTGGACACCATTAGGATGGCCAGAAAAGTGAGCGACACAGCTGTGGACCAACGGCAATAGGACATGGAGTCCCTCTGAAGGTGGCAGCCCACCCTGCCTGAACTCCTCCTGGCGTCCTAAATCAAGGTGTGTTAGCTATCTGCAGAAGAGCCGGGGTCAGGGGCAATTTGTAAGGTTGGAATAAATGTCTCAATAGATTCATCTATGAGTTTTTTCCCTCCTCCTTGTATTGTTCTCTTTTCCATCTCTCCAAACATACAGGTGTGGACTCACTGTCTTTGGGTAGGGCTGTGGCAGAAAACAAAAGTTTCCCACTAAATACCAGCTCCCTTCCTGGACTGGTTGCTTAGGTCTGATCTAAGGCCCCAAGGTGGAGAGGATTTCCTGGAGGAGACAAAAATGTCTTGGAGGAAGGGGAAGGCAGTTAGGCATCCCTCCCCTCAGACATTGGGCTGGGGAGGAGGGGGAGGGCATGGGTCCCAGGAGCAGCACCGACCCGGCCTGGCTCCCTGGCAGGCCCCAGAAGCCTCACGCATGAGCCCAGGTAGGCTGGCAGGAGAGTGTGTCTAGTTGGAGCGCCAGCTGATATGAAATTTGCAGTTTGAGAAGCCAGGGGCAGGACTGTGGACATCGCAGCAGTAACCATGCAAACATGTGTCCAATGAGAGGGCCTGGCACAGCCAAGATTTGGGAACTGGAAAGCACCATGCGGTGGGACGGGGGAGAAGGGAACTGATCTCCAGGAAGAACTGGAGTTAAGTTCCCCATAGTTTGGCAGGCTAGTTGACTTATGAAAAACAAAGTTAAACCTCATGTGCACGTGAGTTGGCAAACTGAGATTTCTACCCAGCACACCTGTTCTCACATTGTGAGTCCTGGGGACCAAATCTGTTCTGTTCTCATTGGAGCAGGGAAGCCAGCAAACTCGCTGGGTCCCATCTGCTGGGGTAGGAGGTGGAGAGGAGGGGGCTGGCTTTCCCTCAGACACCAGATGACTGTTCCCTAGGGAGCGAATCCTGCCTCCTGCCCAGTTCCCTCAGCCCTGGCGGAGGCAAGGGCAGCTTGAATAACACTCATGAGTCCAGGAGCTTGGGAGAGCAGGGCCAGGAGGAGGCCGGGGGAAAGAAGCCTGCACGAAGGCTGTCATAGCAGGAGATTCAGTCCATTTAAGAGTTGTCTACTGAGTATGTAGTATGTGCCCAGTCCTAGGCTAGGTGCTGGGGGAGAAGTAAAGAAAGTATGCAAGAAAGAGCCTGGCA